AATGCCATCATGTGAGAGTTGTGCATACTTGAGGGGAGTTTGATTCCGCCTTGCAAGCAAGGGGGAAAATGATGTTGAAGAAAATGGTCTCGACTCCAACCAGTGAACTTCAATCATTATGTAATAGTGTGGTTTCAATTTCAAATCGACACCAATCAATGTCAAATCCAGTAAGTGACACCCCATTTTAACAACGTACCAGTGTTACATCTGAGACTATACAGTCCATTTTATTTCGGACTGGTGTTAAATGCAACACCCACATTTTTTAACAGTATCCTCGATCTTTTAACACTGGTCGATTTGCAGTATGGTTAGATTTATTTATTTATTTTTTACATTACGCTCGTTTCAAATGCTTTGTTTGGATCCAGAAAAACACAAAGAGCAATTTTCTTCCTTTACATTGCAGATGAGACGTAGTTGGCCAGTTGCAACAAAACATGTTCAGTGGGATGTTGCTTACCAAAACCACATTGGTGAGTGTACAGAATGTTAATCGTAGCTAGGTGCTGTGTTAGCCTTACATTTTGTAGATCAGTTTCTCCAGGGTCTTACTTTACAGAGCAAAATTTATTTTAGACGGTCATGATTAAAGACGTTTGGATAACCGGTTTTAAGTATGAGCATAGCAATTTCGAGTTCTTGAGGGACTTTCTCAAACGGGAAAGATGAAGAGTAAATGTGTGTAAGGGACAAATGACATAATCTATACTTTTGTTGATGACATTTGATACCATCATTAAGTTCTTGACCTGGGGCCCCAAAAATCCTAACAATGGTTCCTTAGAAAAATGATGAATTACAGATCTTTTCCTGAATGCATTGACAGCCTGCTAGAGGATGATTTGTGCAAATTTGGTGGAAACAGACAGTTTACCGGACTGTTTCAAATTCCCGTTTAAGCACTTTCCGATGAAAAATGTGTGCATAAGGGGATTATGTGATTTGTTTCACAAGTTCCAAAGCCTGCTTTTTTAAATGAATACAACTTAGCAGGTGTAACCCTTGTGTTACAGTTTCTACGATTTTCGTAACACATGGGTTACCCCATATGTTACAATTTCTACAATTTTTGTAGATTTTTGCATATTGTCATCTTTAAATCAAAGACAAAGCATAAATTTGTGTGATATGAAATATTCCAATTCATGTTTTATTTATATAGATTTATATTTATGTTTTAGTCATAGCACAATACCGCTTTTATTGTCCATAGAGGGCAAAAATACAAAGAAAACAATAAGAACTATATGTGTATGTATAGCACTGATGCCACTGAACATGTCGAGTGGTTGAAAGTGAAATAAATATTCAGGAATAATACTTTTACAATTTCTGTAAAATTGTATGTTGCGTTGTATAAACTTATTCACATCGACTGCAGCACATGGGTTAAATCTCATCTCAGGCCTTCCTGTGCTGTGTGGAGTGTGCATGTTTACCACGTGCTTGTGTGGGATTTCTCCAGGTACTCTGGCTTTCTTGCATGTTCCAAAAACAAGTGTGTTACATGAATCAAAAACTCTAACTTGTCCGTCGGTGTGAATTTTACTGTGAATTGTTTGTTTGTTTGTTTGTACTGTATAGTATCTGCCTGCAATCAACTGGCCACCAATCCGGACGGGGTATATACAGCCAATCGACAATTGTCAGATGGGATCGATTCCAGTTTACCCGTGGGCCTGATGAGAACAAGCATTATAGAAAACCGATGAATTGATGAAAGGATAAAGACAGGCCGCAGACAACACCACTTAGACACACCCCCTATTACCGAGCAGGTGTTCAACCTCAATGAATTGTGATACACAGTTTGTTTTTGAGTCACTCTGGAAAGTGTTTAATGGTACTTGATATAACTGCAAACAATTCATCACCCCCCCCCCCAAAAAAAACAGAATAAAATGACTTCATTCTGTATCTTCCGATAAACACATACTTTGATGATTTTGCACTGCATCTCCCCACAATCCCTATTACGTTCTTTATCTGACGCACCGCCTCACATCAGATCCTCCCCTGCACTTCTCATGCAGGGATCCATCTCACGTCACACGGCTCCTAAATTAAGTTTGAATGCGAGTGCTGCGCAGGAATGTGTGGGGCTGCAATATTTCACGAGTGAACTGAATGACACCTTGTGTGTTAATTATCTAGTTTTGAGGGTGTTAAATTGTTCACGTTTCTTCCCTTTTATCTCAGCTTGAGGCTTTAAAGATGTGTCATTTCCTTTGCCTTGCATCATTTCTTCACATATTCATGAGCCTCCGCTTAACTGCTGGGAAATACGCATCTTTAAATCATGCTAAAGACCACCCTGTACACCTGTACAAAGGAAATTCTTTGGAGTAACATCGACTTTCAACTGCTCCACTTGTAATGTCATTGATCTCTAGATAGGGGAGAGCTGACAGTGTCTCCTCATTCTACACCCCGCCATCCAGACCCCATCAACAGCTCACACATTCCAAGGAGATGATAACAGCACCTCCTAAACATAGCCCAACCCCCAGAATCACAGAACACGCTGTAGATCATGGTTACGGTGAGACAAGCTTGATCCGTGGCACTGACTGGTACCACTATATCAGCACAGTGATAAAACAGAGCACAGCTGGTCACTGCGAAGCAGGCACAAGACGTTTGGCGACTGACACTGTCCAGACTACACTGTGTCTTTGCTAGCGATTTACACTCACCGCGGATCACCACCCACTGCTACGTAGAATGGAAATTTTTCTCCACTTTGGGAGTATTTGCTAGTTACCCAAATATAGTCTGTGTGTGTGTGTGTGTGTGTGTGTGTGTGTGTGTGTGTGTGTGTGTGTGTGTGTGTGTGTGTGTGTGTAGA